ACGCACCTTCAGATCCTGAACCTTCCCACGACGATATGGATACCACAGAAGAAATCTCCAGGCCAGACTTGGGCTGTATTCACTATAAACGCAATGTCAAGATGCAATGCAATACTTGCCAAAGGTGGTACACTTGCCGACTGTGCCACGACGAAGTTGAGGATCATATCTTACCTCGTCGGGAGACCAAGCATATGTTATGTATGCTCTGCGGTACGCCTCAAGCTGTCGGCCAATTCTGCAAAATGTGCCAGGTTCAAGCAGCTTGCTATTACTGCGCAATCTGCAAACTTTGGAGTAACGACCCGGCCAAGTCTATATATCACTGCGACGACTGTGGGATATGTCGCATTGGGGAAGGCCTGGGCAAAGACTTTTTCCACTGCAAGACTTGTGCTGCATGCATGTCAATCCAGGCTGAGAGTACGCACAAGTGCATCGAGCGGAGCACAAAATGCGACTGTCCGATCTGTGGCGAATACATGTTCACATCCAACAAGCCGGTAGCCTTCATGCGGTGTGGTCACAGTATTCACGAGACTTGCTTTGCCGAATGGTGTAATGCAAGCTACAAGTGTCCTATATGTTCCAAGAGCATCGCCAATATGGAGAGTCAATTTCGCCGCTTAGATCGACATATCGAAGAGCAACCAATGCCGGAAGAATATCGAGACAACCGAGCCTATGTCTTTTGTAACGACTGCAACAGCCGCAGTGTGACCAAGTATCACTGGCTCGGGTTGAAGTGTGCCCTTTGCGATTCGTACAACACCACACAGCTAGAATTGTTGGGCGCGGAACAGACGCCGCAACTTGAGCAAGAGCAGGAACGAGCACAGCAAGCTGGAATCAGTGAAGCAGCTTTCACTGCTAGTCAGAACCACACTCCGATGGAGGAATTGACGCAACCAGCGAATCTGATGAGACCGGTGTCCACCTCCGCTCCTAGCCCTGTTGACACCACGGGAGGTGCACAATCTCCCGAAAGCCGGTCATCATGGCTGTTGCCCCATTCACCGACTGGACGATCCGCAAGGTCTATGTCTCCGGCGGTCGGGAGTTACTTTGGCACCGGTCAGCGGCCTACAGAGGCCGTGCAGATAGCCCGACCAGGCACGACGCCACTTGATGACGACGATGATCTCGACTTTTGGGGCCGACCCAATTCACCCCCTCGACACGAAGCTATGGAAGGGCTGTCAGGATCAGAATCGGAGAGTGATAGTGACCAGCTGATGGAGGATGAGGATGACGGAGATGAGGAGGATGATCTTATGGCATTACCCGGGCATAGATAGAAAGCGAAGAGTGGGCCTCTTACGTTGCGCTGAGATATTACATGGGATGAATAAACAAGACAGGGCAGGACACATCAAGCGACGAGTCACGGACGAAAGAGATTACGAATGGAATATGCATGGATTGTTTGGCATCTCATACTGCATATGGGAATGGGCATTTTCTCTGTTTGGGTTGGGACGAAAAGAATCAGCGTGTACGATACTGTTCATCTGTATCAACATCCGGAGGTTGCTCAACATAGCCTTGCATGAAGTCGCGGGTATCTGAAGGAAGCCTGAGCGTTTTGGAGGTATCAAATACCTGTATACCCATGAAGGAGCAGACCCTGAATTCATGGATTTTATTATCACTTAACGCCGCTATGACCGAATCACGAAGCTTCCTTTTCCCTTGCACTTTGCATAGCACCACTGGTGGCACGGCACAGCTACCGTTTGGTTGTCCCACCCACTCGTGTGCTGCGGGGAAGCATTCGAGGCGGTGACGGTGACGATGGTGCGATCCAATAGAGTGACATATTAGGATAAAATCGATCGGCCATCTGCCGGGCCATGACCCAAGGGCTGTCCTCAATGCCCTGTATATAAACGGGAGAAACGGCACGTTTGCCTTTCTCAATTCCTCATCAACTGCGCCAGAGAAGCTATCAGTACTCCTTGTAGCGACTGATCGAGCAATACTTCGTCAAAATTGAAGGTCAGTCTGCCATTGTCCCTGTACCGAGCTCGATGAGGGGCTTGACATCAAGCTGCTTTTCAATGGCTGACCAATACCCTTCGATAGGATTTGGTATTTCCTGACTTGAAAAGAAAACACTCATAACGATACATTCAACCATATTCCACAACCGCAATCATGGGTGACGCCGGTCTTCCCCAATCGCTCCAGGAGAGCGTGGAAAGCACAAAAGTCTCGTACGCCCAGCTGGGCCAATCGGGTCTGCGTGTCTCGATCCCCATCCTTGGTGCCATGTCTTTTGGTATGTTTCAACGACCACAGCCTGACCACTCTCCTTTTTCAATGTGTCAAGCTGTAAGTTTTGTTTGAGTATGTCAAGCTGATTGAGTAGGCCACAAGGACTGGCAAAACTGGGTGATCGACGACGCAGCCGAGGTCGATAAACTCCTCAAAGGAGCATACGACCGCGGCCTCAATACCTGGGACACAGCCAACGTCTACTCCAACGGTGTGTCAGAGAAGATGATCGGTGAAACGATCAAGAAGCACAAGATCCCTCGCCATAAACTCGTCCTGCTGACCAAGTGCTTCGGTACTGTTGGCGAAGAGCCCGACGTCGTGCACATCAAGTATGCCGACGCCATCAAGAAGAGCAAAGACTACGTCAACCAAGGCGGTTTGAGCCGTGCCGCGATCTTTAATGCCGTGGAAGCGAGTCTTGAACGTCTTGATACCCCGTACATCGACTTGCTGCAGATCCACCGATTCGATAAGACGGTGCCGGTCGAAGAGACGATGAAGGCGTTGCACGATCTTGTGCAATCTGGAAAGGTCCGATATATCGGTAAGTTGCTTAGCAACCACGAAGTCCACCTCCATTCCTGAAAGTTACTTGCTTCTTTGCCACATACTGATCTTGGCGATAGGCGCATCCAGCATGTGGGCATATCAATTCGCCAAACTACAATCCGCTGCCGAAAAGAACGGTTGGACCAAATTCGTGTCCATGCAGAACCACTACAGTCTGTGCTACCGCGAAGAGGAGCGCGAGATGATCCCCTTCTGCCACGAGACCGGTGTTGGCTTGATTCCCTGGGCCCCACTGTACCGCGGCCTCTTGGCTAGACCATTGGGTTCGGATACGACGACCCGCGAGGAGAGCATGAAGGGAAACCCCATGTTCTCGGGCTTGACTGAGGAGGATACCGCCATTGTCAAACGTGTGCAGGAGTTGGCGGAGAAGCACGGCTGGAAACAGTCTCAGGTGGCGCTCGCATGGATCATTCAGAGAGGCACGATCCCCATTGTCGGCTTCAGTAACCTCAACAGATTGGAGGAGGCCGTTGCTGTCAGAGGCAAGACGCTCACCGATGACGAGATGAAGTACCTTGAGGAGCCGTACAAGCCTAAAGCTATTGTTGGACATCAGTAGGGAAACAAAGCAGATCGACATCATCATGTGTAGCTGTGACGGACAGTTTAAGTAGAGATTAGCTGAAGCGAGGCTGGGTGAACAAAATCGAGATACTGTGAAACAATACTGAGAACAAGTTTCTTGTCCTACTTTATAGCAACGAGCTTTTCCTGTTCTAATAGTATCTATTCCGAGATTGTCTTGCACGTGCCCGTCATGACATGTCGAGATATGTGGGTGAAGGATGTATATCGAGAGCAAGAAGCCGCAAACATGCATCTTGATTCTAGTGATCTCGTGCCGTATCAAACGGAGTGTGCTGGCGTATAATGACCACGGTTGAATCGTTCTATGATTCGTCATCCACCTCGGCCGGAGTACTCAAATACCCCTTCTCCTCGAGGTACTTGACGATAATCTTAACGGCGTCCTCCACACTCGTCTTGTCGCTGGCGATATGGATCTCTGGCTTCAGTGGTTCTTCATACGGTGCACTAATCCCCGTGAATTCAGGGATTTTGCCCTCGCGAGCCTTCTTGTATAGGCCCTTGGGATCGCGCTGCTCGGCGACCTCGACGGGGACATCGATCCAGACCTCGACGAAAGGTACGCCAGATTCACCGTCCGGTCGTTTCGCTTCGTGTAATTGCCTAGCCAAGTCACGGTCCGCGCGGTAGGGGCTGATGAAGCTTGTTATGGCGATGGTGCAGGAATCGGCGAATAGCTTTGCAACTTCGGCGATGCGGCGGATGTTCTCTTCCCGGTCTTTGGGGGAGAAACCGAGATCTTTGTTCAGGCCGAAACGGATGTTGTCGCCGTCGAGGCGGTAGGCGGCTTTGTTGTAGGGTTTGCGGAGAAGTGCTTGTTCCAGGGCGACGGCGATAGTGGATTTGCCGGACGCGGAGAGTCCGGTCAGCCAGATTGTCAGGCCGGATTGCTTGCGTAGACCGGCGCGAATGTCTGGTGTCAGCGGGCTGGCGTGGAAGTGAATGTTGCTGGGTAGAGATGTCAATATGCTTCAACAAGGGTAAACATGCTGGAAGCTTGCTATGCAGGAGGATCAAGCACATAGGGAAAGCCGGGAGAGATGTTATGTAATTGAGCTTTGTCGAACATAAGGTCTTTCTGCATAGGCTCTTCCTGAGGGCGCAGAAATGTGAGAAATGAGGTGTGAGTACTTACGTCGCCATGTTGGATACAGTTCTGTTATCGTTGTGGGGGTTCTGCTGTGCAACTCTCAAAATATGCAAGACCTTTTTCCTTCGCTGCTATCTCTCCAGAATCCCGTATACGTGTCTATCAAAATTTCTTCCTATTTGCGGTCACTGAGTGATGCCGTGATCGGCGAAAACATCAAAACTCTGCAATATTGCCAAGAGAGGCCATCCCGCTAAATTAAGGTTGATTACTGCAGTGGGTGTCAGGTCTTGCCGCCAGCGCCTTGCCAAGACGAAATCTTATCATAAGTTTTAGTCTTGAAAATTTGCGTAAATTTTGGCGTCCAACACGCCTCAGATTTTGTCGACCTGGATCGGTAGTGAGTCCATAATTTTCTTCTCGTCCTACAACATCGTGGTCGAGGTCATTCTATCTACAGAATTCTAACGACAAGAAGACTCAGTGGTAGAGTGGGAGATTGCAGTCATGATCAAATATCTCCAAGTCAGGCGTTCGATCCGCCTTCGATCCTTTTTTTATTCGGGTTCATGATTCCAAAATCAAACGGTACTGCTTTTTCGCGTTCTTCACATGCTGTTAGCGGCATTGGGACTAGCGTGCCCAATACTCCACGCATGCTTCACGTAGACTTGGCCCTCCCATCGCCCTACTTACAGGTAAGTCACTCCACTTCTTTTTGGTTATATGAGATGTGTTGAAGTTGTTTACCTATTCTTCTTCTGCCTGTCGACCTTTCGGCTCATCTCTTCTCTCGTTACGGATGTTCAGTGTTGATGTTGCCAACGCAAGATGGGCTCACTCGGAAAGTCCCCAACTCGATCTACGAGTACAGGGGATTCGAGGACAACCAAGTTTCGTGGCCATGAAATAAGCGATTGGTGAGGAACTTCGCCTCGCCACCATCCTTCCCGGTTTCTCCTCATGATGTAAGGTAACAATCTCGCATGTCTTAAGTGGCCTAGACGTCACTTCGGTTTCAGTTGCTGTGGCGAAGATAAGCATTCTTGCCTCTCTTCCTTTTGTGCACAGTTTACAGTCAGGCGCTGCATCGCAAAACCGTAAGAATGCAATTGACGCGATGAGTGGTTTGAATCCTTACATTAGCAATGGAACGTGCTATACTGCGGCTGGGGACAAGCTGGGCAACGACTTTGTCCCATGCGGCAACGACGCTTTTGGCCATCAGACCTGCTGCGGAGCAGGCGATAACTGTCTAGCCGACAACGCTTGCTTCGGTGTGCATGGTTCTGGTTATGGTAGCTACCTGACATATTGGGCTGGGTGTACCGACCCAAATTACGAGGACGCGACTTGCCCTAAGAAAGAAGTCGGTGAGCGATTACCAGCAAGCAGAATGTCAGAAAGGCATATGACTAATGCTTTTCAGACCAGCCATGGGTTGCTTTGACACGTTGCGACGACAACGTTGATGTATGGGCCATCTGCTCGCAATCTGGGAATCCGTCAACGCTCCAGCCAGGAGCATATTGCAGCTGTACCATTGCAGCCTCGGCCACGGTGGCTTTCACCGACACAAGCAGCCTTACCAGTGTTTGCTCGCTGCCGACAACCACCGGACAGAGCATACAATTCTTTGTTGGCCATTTCCCTAGTTCTGTCTTGACCACCGGGTCGACGGCCGCTTCACAGAGCTCTACTCCTACCGGTACTGGTGGAGGCGGTGGCTCCTCCGGTGCGGCGAACTCAGCGACTGCTACATCCGGTCCAACAGCTACTACATCAGTCACAGTTTTCACATCAAGTGCCACAACATTTACATCAACTACAGCGCCTTCTACGACAACCTTCACCTCGAACGGCCAAACGTTCACTTCGACTACTGCACCCTCGACCACGGTCATCACATCCGGCGCCAGAACAGTCACATCATCCATTGTGACTTCGACGACCCCTTCCGCCGCCGCAGCAGGCGGGTCTAGTGGCGGCAGCTCCAAGTCAGGGCTCAGCTCAGGAGCCAAAATTGGCATCGGGGTTGGCGCAGGTCTCGGCGCTTTGATGCTTCTCGGTCTACTATTAGCCCTCTTCCTGCGGCGCCGGAGGCGTCGACGGCCCACAACGTCAAAGGTGGAGAGCGACGGCTACGACCATGGAGCCGTTGTCGGCGCGGGGATGGAGAAGCCACCAACGCCGCGTCCGTCTGAGGACCCTCCCAAGTCCGAAGCTGAAATGTCATCTGCGCCTACAGCATACGACGCAAATGGGCAAGTAATGCAAGAGGCTGATGGGCAGGCTGCCTTGCCTTGGACTCTACGGAGTGAACTCGAGGGTAGCCGGGTCCCGAAAACAGGAGAACCTGTTCCTATTGCCGAGTTGCCGGGAAGTGAAAACTACGCAGGTCAGCAGGGAGGACGCGACAGTCTTGCTGTAGAAGCGAATCGGCAACTTGGTCCTGGCTGGAACGGACCATCGTTCAAGCTGTTAAACAGCGGTGCGGGGAAGGATTACTTGCAGAATCCTAGTTGACCTCCATATGGACTTTTTTGTATATATCTGTCACATAATGAAGGCGAGTCACGGCCAATACGAGCATTTGGGAACAGTCGGGAGCACAAAAGAAGGTTTGAAGCGTTCAGCGACACTGGAGTTCCTGCATTGCAGGGATCACAAGGTATCTAGCAGCACATACATGAGATTGTCATTCACCATCAGGTTCGCTCGGCCACCATTTCTTCGTCTTCTGCTAAAAGAATGGGCTTCGGTTCGTCATGTACCATAGTAACCTGGAGGTGTGGGCGCCTCGGCGCTGGGTGTAATGGTGGTCCGTGCTTCGGAACTCATCAAACACGCGGCACGCGTAGGAACGCGACCAGAAAAGTCCAAAAAGGCTTCATTTATTCTGCAATGCATTCGTTGCATCAGACATTGTCCACAAGTCACCAAGTCGAGGAACCGAACCCCATATAACACACCACTGGCGTACTCAATCACTACCTCGACGTCTGGCGTGTCTAACAACGACTCGTGGTCTTATGTCCTTGTCATTGCCGACACCTGCGTTTGAGACAACCTGGATAAATGGAAATCTCTAGCATTGGCGTCTCGCAGAAATACATGACATTCTTCAGCATCTGTCATACCTGTCCAGTCCTCGTTTGCCTGCCTTGCGGAATATCGAACACGGGTTGGTAGGCTCAAAGGACAGCAGGGGTTATGTTCGGAAGGTCAAGTCCGTCGGATGGCTGCATGCAAGCAAAAGCCACAAATGGCTTGATGATCTTCAGCTGTCGCGATCTGGATCTGGGGTTGGGCCTGAAATCCCAGATTCTACCTCGTCTTGATCAAATCTCTTCCCGCTAGCCACGCCTCCTGTGACGATGTATGGATCAGAACACCCTGCCTTTTGTTGGTCCGGCTCAGCCCAATCGACAACAGTTTTCCGTAAAAAGGGCTTTACAACGGCCCAGTCTCATGCCCCTTCCAATGGACTGGAGTTTTGTGCGTCGGCTTTTGATTTCCCTACGGGCAGATTTGTTTGCCCTTCAGTTCTCTCAACAAGACGAGAATATGACAGCTGTCATAACCTTGTGTCAGCATGACAATTGCGGTGATACGATCAGCAGAAAACGGTGGGCAGAAGCACATGAAGAGCCATAACCGAACGGCTATATGGCCCCCCAATTAAGGTACAGAGCTCCTCCAAAGATATGACGGTTAAGATGCAGCCTGATACTGTCAAGCGGAGTCTGGAACGTGCTCCTTGAGAAGTCGGTGTACAACCTGCTGGAGCTGATTGACTGCCAGCCGCAATTCATTTGCCATGTTCTTCGAAATCATTGATGCTCGTATTCAGGCCGCCGGAACAAGGATAGGTAGATGTGGTCGATATGACATCTCATACAGTTTCATCAAACAAAGGAACGAAAGGCGCCACTCACACCATTCAACCGAATCTTGTGCAACAATTTCAGCCATGTCTGCTTTCTGTGCGTTGTCAGGTTGATTTACCTCTATCACAAGACAACTGGGTGTTTGGAAGGTGAGTGTTTATCATTAGGTCCTCTGTCTTATGAAGACTTGCTCTATCTGTGCCTTTCCGACGGAATCGACAAATCAAGTGATGGTTTTGGAGCTCCTTTTGTCTGCTTGAGAGTGTTCATAGATACTTGATGCCATATATTTCGACCTTGGATTCATTGACACTGTCTGGATCTGCAACAGGGTTATGATAATGACTGCTGTTTCTGCCTGAGTGAGAGTTCTCTCAGTATTGTATCGGTGCAAGCAGGTCTCGACTTTCGCCTTGGAGTACTTGCGCTTTACTCACTGCTGCGTTTTGAAAGCACACTCAGAAGGAAAGCACGACAGAGGGAAAGGAGAGGTGGCAACGACGTCTCAGCTTGACTTTGCGCTACGACTCCAAACACCACGATCGATGGATGAGAGTGTGAGCAAAAGTCGCGAATTCTGCCTCACCTTCTTTCTCATATTCACACTCGTTTCACTGCCTTTTGTTTGTAGGTTGGGCATGAATAGCGGTGTCGCATTTACTGTTTGCATCACTTTCGACTTCTTTTACCGTGTCATGTCACTTCACTTCACAATTTCAACTGCGATCAGAGCCGTCGACGATAATCAAGTCAATTACCACTCCGGAACTTCATCGCAACGGTATTCAGCATCGCCTCTCTTTGGGCAGTGACTGGAAGCGCCTCCTTGCTCACTTTCACTTACTTCCATCTCACCATAATTCTCCCCACGAGGCAGTACCAATACGAATCTGCCCCAACAGTCGACGATCATGGCCTGGGACAAGCTCACCAAGTGGATTATCGGCCGTGGTATGGCAACACCTCTCTTGAGTCCACGAGAGTACTCGAGACTAATGCTCGAACAGGTCTGGCTGAGAAGAGCGATCGAAAGAAGCTTGAACGCGAATACAAAGATGTTGAAGAGGCACTCAAACTGATAAGAGAAGTTGCCAATGAGCCCATCTTACCATTACCCAGTCGTAAGATCACCTTTGTCCATGGCCTGACAACTTGAAACTAAGCGAGGATGAAGTACCACCTTCGGCTTGCAGCAGTCCCATTCCTGACCACCGCAAGCCTCGCACTCCTCCTATACTCTACTCTGAAAGACTACCCTACACGAGATCGACCTCGAGTCCAGCGATACCATCACTGGCGAACCACCAAACCCCAACAGACCTTTTCGACGACACAGACTATAGTGACTTGAAGAAAAACTTCAGCTGTGATGGTGCATGGACATTCAAAGATCAGCCGGCAGTACCAATGCCAGAAATGGTAGGCTTTGGAAGATATCGACGGTCAGTCAACGCTCCAACGGATTGGCAGCTTGAGCGCGCGGTTCGGAGCCTCCACGATATGAAGGGAATCGTTATCGACCATCTCGGAGACTGCCCACCCCTGGGAATGGGTGACGATGTCTGGCGAGACTACAGAGCTCAACATTCGCGTGCCAGCAGTTTTGCAAGCTCGCACAGTTCACACTCACATACGGCGGCCACGGAATACCTTGACAAGTCTA